GGTTGTCATTTAATCAGTGTTAAGTCTCCCCTTATGGTGAAGTTTTAGAACTCTAAAAAGTTGTTTTGTGCATGTAGCATCTCTCTTAGTATTTACCCCAAGTCGTTACCTTGAGTTCTGTAGATACCATATATAAAGGCTGCACTTGGAACGTCCCTGATGGCCCAGTGGTTAAGAATCTGCCTGGCAATACAGGGGACGTGGGTTTGATCCCTGGTCCGGGAAGATCCCACGTGCCACGGAGCAACTAAGCCCATGCGCCACAATACTGAGCCCACACACCACAACGACTGAAGCCCGTGTGCCTAGAGCCAGTGCTCTTCAACAAGAGAAGCCACCATGATGAGAAGCCCCCACACCACAACGAAGAGTAGCTCCTGCTCACCGCAACTAGAGAAAGCCTATGCGCAGCAGCAAAGACCCAATGCAGCCAAAAAAATAAATAAAATTTAAAAATAAATAAATAAAGGCTGCACTTAAGTCCTCCACCTACTTAAAGACTGTATTCAGAGATCTGAAACGTGACTCTATCCTGTCAACCCCAGATTCCACATAATGCCATTAAAAGGGCATGGTTACTTAGGACTGGGTATAAAAACCCCTTCAGAAGTATGTTTAATTGTCCAGTCCTGACCCCTAACTAGTTCACTGTGCCGGTATAATTTGATTAACACTGAGCGTCTCTCTCCCAGATTTCCTCGACCTGTGACTGTGGAGCCCATGGACCAGTTAGATGATGAAGAGGGACTCCCAGAGAAGCTGGTTATAAAGAACCAGCAATTTCACAAGTATGTGGTCCTGATAGATTCCCTGTTAGGTGTTTGCCTGTTCTTAAGGAAGCTTGTAAAGAGATGTGTAAAAGAGGCACATCTTTGCTGTATGTGTTCACTGGCAGCCATCGTCTTGGCCCTCGGGAGGAATGTAGTGTTTCGTTGGGAAAATCTTGGACAAAAGTTTTAGTAACCTAGGAACCTTGTGCATAGGGAGCGAGAGCAGCCACCCAGATTTGCACAGCCTGGCTCCTTTGAGTATGAGTATGCCATGCGCTGGAAGGCACTTATTGAGATGGAGAAGCAGCAGCAGGACCAAGTGGACCGAAACATTAAGGAAGCTCGTGAGAAGCTGGAGATGGAGATGGAGGCTGCTCGCCATGAGCACCAGGTCATGCTAATGAGGCAGGGTGAGTATCGGCCTGTAAGTCTTATAACTAGAAGGAGGACAGAGTAACTTTTTTCAGGAGTTTCTTTATCAATCAGTAGAGAAAGGCCTAAACTTCAACTTTTATTCTCTGAAATATTTTGTTGATCTTGGTAGGCAAATGAGCTTGGAGATGTGGCAGAGGATACTGGATTCTGTGGAGAAGGAAATAATAGGTTTGACTTCATTTTTGGAATCTGGATACCTCGGATGGCCACTCAGGGATTAAATATCCCCTTTGCTTTCTGGATCTACCTTTATGGAAAATTACTGGCCCTATATGAGGATCATGAAGAATACTCTCAATCAGTCTGTTGTTTTCATAGATTTGATGAGGCGTCAAGAAGAACTTAGGAGGATGGAAGAGCTGCACAATCAAGAAGTGCAAAAACGAAAGCAGCTGGAGCTCAGGTAACTCTTTTCTCCAACCCTTTTTATCTGACAACTTTAAAATGTAATGTCTCTCTCCTGTTTCCTACCACCATGCTACCTCATGCATTTGTAAATATGTTGGCAAATATTTCCTGGCTGCTTCTCAAGTTCTCCCTTTAGATGGGAGATGTTTCAGGTACCCATGGTTCTAGGAGTTCCTGGGACTGCGCTAAAGAGGAAAGCAGCTGAGTGCTGGTCTTATGAGACTGGCTCCTTTGGGAAAGAACTTTTTTCCCTGAAGGACACATCTGGGTTGTTTTAGGGCTGGGCACATTTAACAGTGAGTTTCCTGGAGAGCTATGATAGTTTTCAGTTGGTTCTTGATCTCCTTGGCTGAGTCCCCTATTAATATAATCTGTTCGAGTTTTGGAATGCCTCTGCTTAAATATCTTGGTGACTTCTCTGTAGGCAGGAAGAGGAGCGCAGGCGCCGTGAGGAAGAGATGCGGCGGCAACAAGAAGAAATGATGCGACGACAGCAGGAAGGATTCAAGGGAACATTCCCTGATGCGGTATTATCTCCCATGTGCCCATGATATGAAAAACTCATCATGAATTGTCCATTAGGATTATTAAAACACACTAGGCTATGACCAATTTTTCCATTCTATGACACTCCTTATAGAAAGAAGCATTCATAGGAAGGAAAGGTAAGGTTTGAAGAGGAGCTCTTCTTGCCTCACAGGCAATTTAGGATGAAAAGCTGGGAGGCCATTGTATGCTGTTTAAACTCAGTGACTGCAGGATCAGATAGACCCAGTCCTGTAGCAGCCTTGACTGGTCTTCTGATGTCCTTGGCAGTTGTACAGGTTGGAGCCCTAGAAGAAATCAGCTATGTCTCTCCTTTTCTTTCATCTTTCCTTCTGTTCCTAATAGGAAACCCTGACTTGTGTCCTAGTAGCTCTAATCTTGAATTCATTGTACAGCTGTAATGAGTTCAAGGAGCTGTTGTTGATGTTCTTCCTCAGCTTGGTCTCAGTGCACTTAGGATGTGTTATCACTGTCTACTTCCCTTAGTATGTGGGCCTCAGTGGATTGTGGTAGAATGAATGCAGTGCTGTCGTGGACTGTCTTGAGTATTTTTTGTTTTTCAGAGAGAGCAGGAGATACGAATGGGCCAGATGGCTATGGGAGGTAAGGACTTAAGGGGTTAATGGCTCTGATTTCCTTTTTTGTCTCGTCTCTGGTAAACTAGGTAGCTTCTCCTACCTAGCCCAAATTTAAGAGGCTTGACATTTCTGGGAGCATCATTTTGGTGGGAGGGTAACATGTCTTAGCCCAGAGATCTTGAATTATTTCCTTTGGCATAGAAAAAGACTGACAATCTCTGTCTCCTATACTGATCACACTGCTCTGCTTTAGGTGCTATGGGCATAAACAACAGAGGCGCTATGCCCCCTGCTCCTGTGCCAGCTGGTACCCCAGCTCCTCCAGGACCTGCCACTATGATGCCAGATGGAACCTTGGGATTGGTAATAAACTGCAGGGCCTTATAGTAACTCTAAATGGTAATAGGAGGAGGAAAGACTTTGCCTTCGTGATCCCTGGGCCTGCCACAATTTTGCTACAGATAACAGTTTTTAGGATCACTGTTACCCATAAAATATTACCTCAAGATCTTTGTTTGGAGTCTTGTGCAAACCCAGTCTCAAACTATATTTTACCCAGGAGTTAAGCAAATAACTGTCTGACTGGGTAGTCTTGATTGACTGTTCAGTTGCTACCCTGGGTGAACAGGTTCTTCTTTGGAGGGAAGGCAACGAAGGCTAGGCATTATCACATAAAATAGATGTGAGTCCAAAAGCTTTATGGCTCATACAATCCTGAGGTGGTTTTAGTTCTACTGTCAAAATGTTTCAGTTAGATAGGCTTAAGGTTGCTGAAGAGTGATGGCCTGCCCTCGTCCATATACCTGGTTCAGGAAAAAGGACTTGGCTAGCACTTATCCAGCCTAGGAATTTAGTAAGTAATATTGCTTAGCATGTAGAAATACGAATAAAAAGTTAAAGGTAGGATGGTTGGGTAGGACTGTATTTCAGGCTACTTTCCTTTTAGGGATAGCCACTAGAGTTCTAAACAGGCTTGGTCAACCCTACCATCAGGAGCCTTGAATAGTTGGGTGGAAATGGCCTCCGGGGAGGGACTACAGATGGGTGGGAAGCTAGGGCATAGGTTCTATTATAACATTGCTCTCTTTCTCTTTAAGACTCCACCAACAACTGAACGCTTTGGCCAAGCTGCTACAATGGAAGGAATTGGGGCAATTGGTGGAACCCCTCCTGCATTCAACCGTGCAGCTCCTGGAGCTGAATTTGCTCCAAACAAACGTCGCCGATACTAATAAAAATTGCAGTGTCTAGTTTCCCAAAACCCTTAAAAGAAGGACCCTTTTTGGACTAGTTGAATTCTACCCTGGAAAAGTGTACTAGGTGAATTCTACCCTGGAAAAGTGTTAGGGATTCCTCCCGATAGTTAGGTCTTCCCTGCCTGTAGTACTCTAGGGAGTATGCTGGAGGCAGAGGGTAAGGGAGGGGCGATATTTAACAAATCAGTTCTGTGTGGTATATCCTTTAACCAGTTCTGTGTGGTGCATTCCTAAAGTTTCATGTGATTGTTGAGAGCCTGAGGGGCGGGGAGCCATGACAAAATGGATCCAGTTAGGGCCATTAATCTTAATCATTCCACTCTTTGTCCACCCTGTTCTATTTGCTTTCTTGTCCTTACACCCCCCATCCCAGAGACACTGCCACATATACCACAAAAACCAAACATCCCCCAATGACCTTGGCCCCATTGCTCCATTCACTCCCAGGTGGGAATTCAGGCAGATGTCCACAGAGGTCACAGGCAACATACATACGGTTCTGTTATATCCCATATATTATGCCTTTGTGTCCTAAGGAAGACATTTTCTCTTAGAGATTTTCATTTAGTTTATCTTTAAAAAAACTGTTGTGTTAAACTTGCCTCCATCTTTTTCTTGGGTAAGGACAACTCAGAAATGGCCCTTTTGTGTCTATGATATTGCTGTTCACAGCTTTTCTTGATAGGCCTAGTACAATCTTGAGAATAGGGTTGCTGTATGCTGAAGGTCAGGCAGTAGCTCTTAGCTTTGCCTATCTTAGGTAGTTATGCTGTGCATTTTTTATTGGTGTACCATGATTGATTTGTCCCTGATACCTTTGGAGTTTTTCTGAGAAATGCAGTAATGCAACATCAACTTATTAAAATACATTTTAAGCCTTTTAATTTTCTGTGCTGTTTTTGAAGGGGCAAGGAGGGAGGGGAGTTCTGCCTCAGATGAGCACAAGGCTATAAGAATAATCCTTTATGACCTTTTGCTTAAAGTATTAATCACCCATCTAGGCAAACATGGGGAGGTTGGATGCATGCTATGACTGAAGTGGTTGACAAAGATCCGGGGCTATTGGTGGTACACAGAAGTAATGAGGATGGGAGGAAAGCTGCTGCTCTGAAAGGGAGAAAATGGGCTGGAGGAATTGGGATACCTTCAAGCTGGGAGGGGGCTCAAAATTGGTATTCATTTCTGAGCAGCTGCTGGTATGTCAGAGGCTTGGAATTGGCATGGTAAATCTAAAACCGTCTCAGCAGTGGTTAGCTGACCTCACCCAAGTTCCAAGCCCTACTCTGCTTGATCCTTTTTTCTTGAGCCTCAGAGCTAAAATGTTCCTGAGCTCTTTCCTATTGGCTGGGCAGACCAATTGAAGTTCCCTTGCCCATGTTAGGAGGTGTACGCCTCCTGAACTAAAGATAGAAACAGCTGGCCCTTCCAGGCAGCTAAAAGCCTCCAGACTAAGAGGTGTTCCCCACTCGGCAGCCAGACTCCTTGAAACACCCTTTCAATAATTCTACCAACGCCTCCATGTCTCTACTCTGCCGTAACAAAGGCTGTGGGCAGCACTTTGACCCCCAAACCAACCTTCCTGGTGAGTAATCCTGACCTTGTCAGGAGCTCTGTGAGTGCTGGGGGAGTTGTCAGCTGTGGGCAGTCTGTTGAAGAAAGAAAAGAAAAATGTAGTGTACCTGCCATAGTTAATTGGTCTGAGTGATTTTCAGTCTTTACTGATTTTTTTTACATCATATGGAAAGACTGTAAGCATATAAACCTGGAAAAAAGGTAAGAAGTGATGTTTGGTATAGTATCTTTCCTTTGATCCTTCTACCGGTATCCACAGATTCCTGTTGCCATCACCCTGGGGTCCCAATCTTCCATGATGCACTTAAGGTGAGGAATAGGCAAGGGGGGGATAGCAAGAGCATTTCGCAAAAGAAATATAGCCAGGAATCTAAGCTGAGCTGGATCTCTTGTTATCAGGGTTGGTCCTGCTGCCGGAAGCGAACTGTAGATTTCTCTGAGTTCTTAAACATCAAGGTAAATTCTTTACTTCCTGGGATTCTGCCCCTAACAGAAGGATTCTATCCCTAATCCTCTCTCCTTATCTGTACTAGGGCTGTACTGTGGGACCACACTGTGCTGAGAAGCTCCCTGAGACCCCTCAACCTGAGGGCCCTGCCACAAGCAGTTCACTTCAGGAGCAAAAACCTCCGAATACGATTCCAAAGTCAGCAGAGACTTTGCGCCGGGAGAGGCCCAAGTAAAGAGGAGGAGGTCCCTGGGTTTTTCCTATATTAACGGAGCTTACTAGGGATGATTAATGGGTCATTGAGGTTTGGGGACTAGTCACTAGAGATGTGAGGAGACCCAAGGGTCAAGGCTTGGTGTATCTTTGGTGCCTTAGGTGAAATTTGTGTCCGGAAATAATGTCCTTTGTGCTAAAGTGGTACGGGGTGATGGGATAGGTATTCTGTGGGGGTTTTTTTTGGGTTTTTTTGGCCGCTCCGTCTGGCATGTGGGATCTTAGTTCCCTGACCAGGGATTGAACCCGTGCCCATGCAGTGGAAGCACAGTTAACCACTGGACCGCCAGGGAAGTCCTGGGATAGGTATTTTGAATCAATAGAGTAAATAGCCTCTCGTGAATACATACTTAGTTATAATACAAGGGGGATTGTTGAGAATTACTTTTTCTTTTTGGAAAAGAGCTTTAAAATAAGTTTTGCATCAAGAAAAGGATGTAGTAGTATTGGCAGCCAGGAGACTGCAGAGAAGAATAAGTTAATTTTGTGGAAATAGTATGAGCAACAGAAGAAAGTCATATTAGGTCTACAACTAATTAGATGAAGAAGAGGGAATGATGCAGTTCTGCAGAGAAATATGGTTGGATTTAGAGCAACTGAATAGATGGGCAAGAGGAGCCCTGGGGAATTCCCCAGGGTTCAAGGATTTGGCATGTCCACAGAGAAGAAAATTGGCAATGGGGTTGCTACCCATCTTCTCTAACTCTGCTCCACTTTCACCAGACTTCTTTAATTCCATTACTACTGGTGGGAAGGTTGGCGCTGTTGATCACGGTTAGTGGGTCAGGACTAAATCACCCCACCCATACTCCCTAGGTCAGAGTTGCCTCCAAAGCTGCTTCCGCTAAATATATCTCAAGCCCTGGGAATGGCACTGGAACAGAAGGAATTAGACCAAGAACCTGGAGCAGGTAAGTGGGTCTTTAGTAGGACAGGCTTCACAGGCAGGAATTTAGTGAAAGTGGCAGTTGGGTGGAGGAAATGAATAGGGTTCCTGACTCTGTTTCCTTTGCCCAGGACTTGACAGTAGTCTGATCCAGACTGGTGCCAGCTGCCAGAACCCAGGATGTGATGCTGTGAGTGAGTTTGTGGAGGACTCAAGCATGTGGTTGAGAGATGCCATGCCTGAGGGATGACTGGGTATAGATGTGAGGCTGCATAGGGTACATTTTTAAGTGACCCAATTCTTTTCCTGATTCTCCTTTATCTGTCTTAGGTTTACCAAGGCCCGGAGAGTGATGCTACTCCATGTACCTACCACCCAGGAGCACCTCGATTCCATGAGGGGTGATGGAGGGGACTGGGTGGGCTGTGAGACAGGTTTCTCCCAATGTTGACCTTAAGATGGAAGTGGGGGCTTGTGGGGAGGGGAAAGGAGAGTCAGTTGAATTCTATTCCTACCTCAGGATGAAATCTTGGAGTTGTTGTGGTATCCAGACCCTGGATTTTGGGGCATTCCTGGCACAGCCAGGGTGCAGAGTTGGTAGACATGACTGGGGGAAGCAGGTAAGTCCCGACTTTCCTGAACTCTTGATTAGAACCCAATTCCAAAATAATTTCTTCTCCCTGTACCTCATGGCCAAGCTCTGTATCTTCTCCCTTTTGCATGGACCAAATAAGATTCTGCTCCTTATCCTTTACCAGCCCAGTGGTTTTGCAATATGAGGTAGTGTTAATCTTTCTGACACTCTCTGTCTCTTCTCCACATATACCATGAGAACGCCCCTTGGGTTAAGAGTTCATTCTTACCACCCACTTTTCACGTCTTCTTTTTAGCTGCCAGCGTCTTGCCGTCATGATTGGCACCAGACAGATTCCTTAGTAGTGGTGACTGTGTACGGCCAGATTCCACTTCCTGCGTTCAACTGGGTGAAGGCCAGTCAAACTGAGGTGAGGAATGTCTGATGCTGGATGGGAAGCCAGTGAATTGGGTGATATTATAATCTTACAGGCAGAGTCGTCGTAGGCAGTAAACATGTAGGCTCCATAGTCCTCTGAGAGGAAGGTAGAGCTGTTAGGTCAGGGTTATCTGGCTGACCCGTGGATGTAGGGATTACACCACTGGCCTGCTTCTCTGTCGTAATTACTTGTTCTGACCTTCTGGGATTGTTACTACCCCTGTAATTCTTTTCTCTCAGCTTCATGTCCACATTGTCTTTGATGGTAACCGTGTGTTCCAAGCACAGATGAAGCTCTGGGGGGTAAGTGAAGATAAGGGGGCACAGGAGGGGGAGGCAGATAGGGTAAAAAGAAGGGCCAGGCTGGAATGAATAGAGGGTGTCTTGAGGGAAGGAGTTGTAGTGGGAAAGTGGAGGTTTTCTCTTCATTTGCTTTGATATTCTCTCTCTCTCCCTCTTCCTCCCTCTTTTTCTCCCTCTCCCCCCCCCCCCGCCAACTCCCCTTTCTTTCCTCTTTCTCTCTCTCCCTTACTTATTTCTTCCCTATGTTTTTCCCCACCTTGCATTTTTTATTTTTCTCCCTGTCATTCATCACCATCCTACCCTGACTCCAATCCCTTTGATTTCCTCATTTTCTCTTCTGTGTTCCACTATCTTTCCCTCCTCCTCAGGTCATAAACGTGGAGCAGAGCTCTGTCTCCTTGATGCCATCTCGGGTTGAAATCTCCCTGGTCAAGGCTGACCCAGGATCCTGGGCCCAGCTGGAGCACCCCGATGCACTGGCTGAGAAGGCTAAGGCAGGGGTTGGGTTAGAGATGGATGAGGAAGAATCTGAGGATTCAGATGATGACCTGAGCTGGACAGAGGAGGAGGAAGAGGAGGAAGTGATGGGGGAGTAGTGACACCAGACAGTCACGTGTCTAGATCGGACCTCAGTGACTCCCTTAGGATCTCAGAGACCAGGATATGGTTGGCCATGTGGTGTCATTGAGCAGCAGGAGGCAGAAGGAGGGGAGAACAAAAGTGTCCCAACCATTCTGTTTTTTTCCCTTGAATAAATCTTGTATTCTGCAGTTTCACATAGTGTCGTTCTCTCACCTCACTATCTAAGATTGTATTCGTTCCCTCCAACTTCCATGTGTGTGCAACACACGTGTGTGAAAAAAAGCACATGTAATCAATTCTTCACAACCACCAAGTATTTACTGAGTACTTACTATGTGCCCAGTTATATGTTAGGTGGTTTAGAGGTATCTGAGAAACAGAAGACTCATTCATTCCTCTCAGGAAAATTGTAGTCAGGCTGACAAGTCAAGGCTCTACATAAGATAATAATAAACATTATCAGGTAGTTTAACTGAGTGCTAAATTGTGCAGTACAGTTTTGAAAAGCTGTAGGAGTTGAGAGAATGGAGTGATTAATGTGGACTGTAGTAGAAAGGGAAAGCTCCATGGAAGAAGTACATTTTTTACAGCTTTAATTAGATACAATACACATCCCATACAATTTGGCGGTTCAAAGTGTAAAATTCAGGGGTTTTTTTTTTAGTGTACTCAGAGTTGTACAACCACAATCAATTTTACAATGTTTTCATCACTCCAAAAATAAACTCTGTACCCATTAGCAGTCACTCCCAGTGTCCCCCCCAAACTCATAGCCCTAGGCAACCACTTATCTACTTTCTGCCTCTGTGGATTTACCTATGCTGGATATTTCATATGAATGGAATCATACAATATGTGGTTGTTTGTGACAGGCTTCTTTCACTTAGGATAATGTTTTCAAGGTTCATCCATGTTATAGCATGTATCAGTACTTCATTCCTTTTAATGGCCAAATAATATTTCACTGTGTGGATATACCATTTGTGTTTATCTCTTCATCAGTTGAGGTATATTTGGGTTGTTCCCACTTTTTGGTTATTATGAATAACGCTCCTATAATAATGCTCCCATGCATTCATGTTCAAGTTTTTATGTGGACATATGTTTTCATTTCTCTTGCATATATACCAAGTGTAATTGGAATGTAATTTCTGGGTCAAATGGTAACTTTTAACCTTTTGAGGAACTGCCAGACTGTTTTCCAAAGAGGCTGCACCATTTTACATTCCCACCAGCAGTGTATGAGGGTTCCAATTTCTCCACATCCTCAATAACACTCTTGTTACTTGTCTTTTTTTATTACAGCCATCCTAGTGGGTGTGAAGTAGAATCTCATTGTGGTTTTACTTTGACTTTCCCTGATGGCTAATGATGCTGAGCATCTTTACATGTACTTATTGGCCATTTTTGTATCTTATTTGGAGAAATGTCTACACAAATCCTTTGCCCATTTGTTAATAGGGTTGTTTGTCTTTTTATTGAGTTGTATTTTAAAAATATATTCTGGAGACAAGTCTCTTGTCAGATATATGACTTATAAATATTTTCTCCCATTCTCTGTGTTGTCTTTACACTTCCTTGATGGTGTCCTTTGATACACAAAAGTTTTTAATTTTTATGAAGTCTAATTTATCCATTTTTCCTTTGGCTGCTTATGCTTTTGATGTCATATCCTAGAAACCATTGCCTAATCCAAGGTCATGAAAATTTACTCCTATGTTTTCTGAGAGTTTTATAGTTTTAGCTCTTACATTTAGGTCTTTGATCTATCGAGTTAGTTTTTGTATGTGGTACGAGGTAGGGGTCCAACTTTACATTTTTGCATATGGATATCCAGTTGTCCCAGGACCATTTGTGGAAGAGACTATTCTGTCCCCATTGAATTGTCCTAGCACCCTAGTTGAAAACCACTTAACCATAAATGTGAGGGTTAAGAAATATATTTTGAATGGAAATTTGAAGAATGAGAAATTTGGATAGATATGGAAGAGTAGGGAGAGCCAGTCTTGGGTAGGAAGTTGTTCTATTTTACTTTTTGTGTTTTATTATAAATTCCAAAGCAATACATATTGTCACTGTAAAAGACTCAATGCAGAAGTATATGGAGTAAGAAGTAAATGCTCCTCTTCAGATTCTCTCCAAGCTTAGTCCTTTCGCTGTTTGTAATCACTGCTAACATATCAGAGGGTATTGGTCCCCGGGACCAGGGATTGAACCCATACCCCCTGCAGTGGAAGCGCAGAGCCCTAACCACTGGGCCACCAGGGAATTCCCTCAGAAGGGTATGTTTAAGCAAGGGAACAAAAAAGTCAAGTGAAGTGTCGCTAGATTGGCAAGAGCCTAAAATGCTAGATCAAGGATTTTGAACATGATTTAAAAGAGAGTTAAAAAGGCATTATAGGGCTTCCCTGGTGGCGCAGTGGTTGAGAGTCCACCTGCCGATGCAGGGGACACGGGTTCGTGCCCCGGTCCGGGAAGATCCCACATGCTGCGGAGCGGCTGGGCCCGTGAGCCACGGCCACTGAGCCTGTGCGTCCGGAGCCTGTGCTCTACAAGGGGAGAGCACAAAAGAGTGAGAGGCCTGCGTACCGCAAAAAAAAAAAAAAAAAAGGCATTATAGGCCCTTTTTTTCTTTTAATTGATTTTTGGCTGCGTTGGGTCTTTATTGCTGTGCACGGGCTTTCTCTAGTTGCGGCGAGTGGCCGCTACTCTTCGTTGCAGTGCAGGCTTCTCACTGTGGTGGCTTCTCTTGTTGCGGAGCACAGGCTCTAGGCATGCGGGCTCAGTAGTTGTGGCTCGCGGGCTCTAGAGCACAGGCTCAGTAGATGTGGCGCACGGGCTTAGTTGCTCCATGGCATGTGGGATCTTCCCGGATCAGGGCTCGAACCCGTTTCCCCTGCCCTGGCAGGCGGATTCTTAACCACTGCGCGACCAGGGAAGCCCGGCCTTTTCTTTTTAAAAGTAGATTTTTTTCTTTTTGGCTGCGCCACGTGGCTTGGAGGATCTTAGATCCCCAACCAGGGATTGAACCCAGGCCCGTGGTAGTGAAAGCGCCGAGTTCTAATCACGGAACCACCAGGGAATCCCCTTAAATGTAGATTCTTAATTAGGGGACTGATATCTCTTTTTTGAGTCTCGCTTGAGTCAAATTTACTCCCTCAGCTGCCTCGTGGCTTGTGGGATCTTAATTTCCCTATTAGGGATCGAAGCTGGGTCCCAGCAGAGAGCACCGAGCCCTAACCATTGGATCGCCAGGGAATTCCCTGAAAATAGGATTTTTCTTGACAGTCAGGTTTTGCTAGTCTATAAAGTGATAACATATTTACCATACCATTGCATCAACTTTAGGATTAAGGAAGATTGTATTCACCTGCTGAGGAAGTATCATGTATAGAATGCCACTGTGTGGGGCACTTCTACCCACATTATTTTATTTAATCCTCACATCTGCTCTGTGGGGTAGGTATTATTATCCTCAATTTTTATAGATGAGGAAACCAAAGCTCAGAGAAGGACATAGCTAGCCTGAGGTCACATGGCTACTGATTAAAACCTCAGTCATTGTTCTAGAGCCATCTGAGAATGTCCAAAAGCTAAGGACCCAACGGGGATCTTAGAAGAGGAGCTTGATATCGCATCCCTGTAGCCTAGCAGAGTCCCTTCGACAAGCCTATCTGGGAACCAGCGAGGCCCTTAGTTGATCAGTGATATCTCACACCGATATAACGCTTTCCCAACCACTTTTTGTCTCTGATCACCTCATCCCTAACCTAAGTGGGACCCCTGGGTACTTTACCTCTCACTTCATCCAGATCAGTAATTATCTCCCAGTTACACCAGATTTAGTGTTACTGACTCTGGGACCCCTGCTTCCACTGTCCTCTTTTTCCCTTTCTGCTCCCAAAGTCCAAGAACACTGCTAGAGGGAGAACCAAGCAGACCAATATGAATTCATGCTGTCCAATTTCAACTTGGCCCTTGCAGCTGCTCAGCAACCCTTTTATTTGTCTCATACATTCCCTGGCACTCTCCCCACAGAGGCTGTTCCAGAACTTCTTCTTTCTCCTCAGACTACAAATTCCAATCTCCCTGCTTCTACTTACACAGATTTCATATTAGATACTTTCATCTGATTAACTGTCCCTCCTGCAGCAAATCAATAATATCTTTCTCCCTTCCAGCCCTGTCCTCTAGCCATCCAGTTTCCTTCCCGGGAAAGCAATCAATGTTCTTGATCTCTTATTTATCCTTTCAGAGATACTTTATGACTCTACAAGCAAAAATATGGAAAGGAGGGAACTTGCACTGGTTGTTAAAGATAAGTAGGATTTGGATAGGTGGAGAGACAGGAGATGATATTCCAAGCAGAGGAAACATCCGGGGCAAAGGCTCAGAGGTGGAAATGAGTACAATATATT